TTCCTTCCTTCCTTCCTTCCTTCCTTCCTTCCTTCCTTCCTTCCCTATACCAAGACCTCTAAATTCAATTCCATGCAGCACAGCATGTTCCCAAAAATTCTACTAGAATGCAAGTTGCCGCCTTTCTTATTTGAAAACACCCAAACTCTGGCTCTTACTCTCATTCTCCCTTCTGCCACAAAGAAAAGACAAACCAGTAGTGCCAAAAGATGCAAGGATTCCTGAGAATTTCTTCAAGCTATGCCAGCAAATTTTTAAAAGTTTCTTAATCAGACTGAATATTGAGAGGGGTTTTACCCTCTTTTTTGATATATATGGAGCTATCTCTTACAGCGGCATTAAAAGACCCGAGAGACCAAGTTAGGAATCGATCACCATGGAGAAAATCCATCCATGCGGTCACTAGCAATCGTCAAAAACTGGATGGCTCATAATCAGTCAATTAAAATCACCCAATAACCTCTTAGATCACCTTGTGGAACCAGGGGAAGGTTGTCCTTGACTTATGACCACATATTTGCCTGAGCAGGGGGTTGGACTAGAAGACCACCAAGGTCCCTTCCAATTCTTCTGTCATGATCAGGTCAATGATGCACCTGGTCAGGTCAAACTAGAGAAAGCCATTTTAGAAAGAACGAATTGGTGGAAGAAAGTTTCAAAGCTAAAATACAAAACAAAACCAAGAGTAACAGAATAGCAGAGTTAGAAGGGACCTTAGAGGCCTTCTAGTCCAACCCCCTCCTCATGCAGGAAAACCTACAGCAACTGTAAAAGCAAAAGGAACTGCATTCCAAATTCCTTGTGTGTCCAATCACACTTGGCCAATAAAGAATTCTATTCTATTCTATTCTATTCTATTCTATTCTATTCTATTCTATTTCATTCCATTCCACTTCACTCCATTCCATTCCATTCAAACTCTGAGTCAGGCATATATAAAAGGCAAAATTCCAAGGATTCTTAGATGAAGTCTTTTGTCATGTATGACTTTCCAATTCTCTGTATTAAATATTTTTATTTATCCTAGTTGAATCTGCTTGGGAATAAGAAGCAGGAAAAAAAAATATATCTAATTTAATACTTGGTAGAAAGCTTTAATCTCAGCTATCCAGGACTGAAGAGAAAGAGGCATGTACAGAATCCGAGAATGAAGTTTTCACCAGTGTCTTATTTAGAGACACAGCCATTGCATTCTACGTTAATACTATCTCTATGCAGCCAGGAGGCTTACCTGTTGTTGTGTAAAGTATTCATTATTTTAATTGCTTGATGACAGGAACATATAAATAGAGGGAAGTGGGAGGGTGTATTCATTACTTGGTGTAATGTTGTCTCTCTTACATTTATAAATGTTGTGGAGACATTGCATATTTATCAGAAGAGAAGATTTAGTTATGCAACTAGAAATTTATTTTAAAGCTGTGACAGAACCAGTGATTTCCTGCTAACAGGAAGGGGAAAAAATGGTTGATTCTCTATTATCACAACATCCACATTCCAATTCATTTACCATATTTATTTTTCATTCCTCCCCCTTTTTTCCCCCAAAATAGTCAGCAAGCCAGCAAAAGCCCATTTATGTCATAAAAGACCTATAAGGCAACTGGATCATAGTTACCAAAGACTAGCCAATATTTCTCAAAGCTGGATAGAAATTTTAAAGCTCTCCTCACTGATCAGAAATCTCTCCTGGAGTTTGCAGACTATCCTGTTTCCCCGAAAATATGATCGACCGACCCTGAAAGTTAAGTCCTGGCTTGACTTTTACACGTGCACCCAATATAAACCCTACACCCCCCAAAAAAATAAGCCCTAGTTAAGATCCTGCCCACTCCTGAGTGGATGGGTAAAAAATTAAGCTAGGGTGGGGATGGGGAGCGGTGGAGCTGCCCTACTACTTACCTTGGGTCAGTTGTAAGCAGGCCTCACACACCCTGACACCTGCCTTTCTGGTCCATTTTTTCTGTAGCTGGCAAGGCTGGCAAAGACTTTCCTGAAGGCCTCTGTAGCTGAGAAGAAAGCTCTGGATTGAGCTCTGTTATTGACTGCAGTGGCCTTCAGGAAAGCCTTCCCCGCTGCAGAAGAAGAAGTTCCTGAAGGCCTCTGACAGCAAAAAGGAGGCCAAGGGTGATACACGCAAGTGAGGTTAGTCAGTCGATGACATCCCCTGAAAATAAGACCTGGTGCCTTTTTTGGTGGCAAAAAATATAAGACAGGGTCTTATTTTCAGGGAAACATGGTAGTAGGCAATATGGTGGTTGTGGACGGATTCTCAACACCTATCAGTATCCAAAACTTCAACCAGCTCTTTCCACATATTAAAAAGACAAAGATTGGGGCCTATTTTCTTCCCTAAATGGGCATAGCAATCATCATGTTCTTCCACGCTCTTGATGCCTAAACTGCGGAAGCAAAGAAATGTTTTCAGACTGAATCACACCTAATCTGTCCTAATTCTTTTCTTTGACAGAATACCAAGCCTTTCTCTCTTTAATACATGAAAGAGCTCTGCCTTCGGGGGGCACTGAGATCAGAATGGGACAACCTGCCATGGCCAACCTGTTATGACCAACTCAACAGGGCCAACTCACTGCAGGACAACTCGCCGCAGGACAATTTAACAATTCCATTTAATTATTCAAAACAATGCACTGTTCCTCCTTTCCTTTCTTTAATGATCCCATTCCACCATTTCTGTAATATTAGTGTCACTCTTGAACCACAATGAATTGTCCCACAGTGAATTGGCCAAGGCAAGTGGCCCGTGGCAAGTTGGCTTTGGTGGGTTGGCCAAGAGGGGCAGACTTTT